GTGGTTCTCAGTAACATGAAATCGATGTCCTCAGGTCTATTAAGAGATGTTAGTGGGAGTAAATTCCTTCTGAGCAGTGACCGTGGCTTATGCACCATTTTGCGCAAGGCACAAGGCGAATGCATGACTGGCACCGAAGGAGGGATTGGACCTGCCAGAATCAAGAAATCTTCAGAATGTGCAGTAGAGCGACAATGCGATGCTTTCTGAGGAAATTTCCAAGCAATTTAAAATTTCTACTTGAGTACTTCCAAGTGAACCATATCCCTTTTCTGGGACCCTGTGGATATGGATTTCTGTTGATACCAGATATCCTCCTAGATACGTACACGGCCTAATAAGCATACACGTGAGGACCCTCCATGTGAGCTGCTTCACTCCACACTCCCAACAGAAGCACACGCAGGAGAAAAGTTCCCTGTTTACAATTCTGACATTTATCTTTGACACTCTCTGTTCTTTTAGTGATGTCTCCAAAATTAATGAAGGAATTGGTGACAAAATTGGAATGTTCTTTCAGTCAATTTCAACGTTTTTCACTGGTTTCATAATAGGATTTACACGTGGTTGGAAACTAACCCTTGTGATTTTGGCCATCAGTCCTGTTCTTGGACTGTCAGCTGCTATCTGGGCAAAGGTAGGTAACGCCTGTGAATCCAGATTTCAAACCGCCCCCTGGGCCACATGGAAGACCTCTTGGTAGGGCCTGGTTCTGTGCATGATAGCCCTGTTTTTGCACTTAACACTTGCTATTAAATCTTCAGTTCAAAATCAGCAGGATAACCAGATCCAGCCTCACTTAGTACAGTCCTTGCCAGGACTCCATGCATTCCTTGGCCATGTGACTATCTGGTGAAGGGATAAGAAGGAAGGAAGGAGTTTGCTTGTCCCACTTTTGCCTTGTAAACTGACATGCTGAACTCTAATGATCTGTGTTCTGTAGTGGGCGATGCCATAGTCACAGAGCACGTAGAGGTTCAAGTTCAGTGAAAACACAAGTCCCATCCAGTCAACATATTTTGTCAGCATCCCTGGGGCTTGCGTATAGCTGAATCATGATCAGGGAGCTGATGGTGATGAAGAGAAATAGGAAGAGAAAGAAGAAGCCCTTCATCTTGAGAGGACAGGGGAATCGGAAACAATAAGACAAAGAGACAGAGTAACGGTGGACACAGGCAGCCTGAGCCTAGGTAACCCAAGCAATTTGTGCCGCCCAGACAAACTAGACATCTTTATTTATAGTACAAGGAGACACTACATATGTGTATTTCACAACACTTCATAGATTCGTTGCTAGGTTATAGAAGCTAAGAAGCAGGTAGCAAATCTATAAGAGCTTAGACATACTGGACCAAGTGTATCTCTAGGTGATAATCCCATCAAGAGAAAATCCCATTATTTTCTTTTCTACTGGAGAGGAGTATAACTGCAGGTGTGGGGAAGAAACATAAGGCTAAATAATCTCTCCATAAGGCGTTTGCCACCACACCCAGAAAAGGCTAAAGAATCTCTCCTAAGGCATGCACCACCACACCCAGAGAAGGCTAAAGAATCTTTCAGATGCAGAGCAAGGATTGGACTTTGTTAATTTGGGGTCAAGATGTTTCCTGACTTCCATCTGATGTGTTTGTTGGAACAACCCTAGGAATTTCCACCCTTTGCTCTGCCTGCAGTGAGGGTCAAGGAAAGGACAAGCTGCAAGGCTCTGCCGAAGCCTAAAGGGACAGGTGGTGCTTGCTCAGAGCATGTCCGCACACCTCACTCAGGGCCGCTCCATCAATATGTCCCTACAATATTTGATTTTTATATTTTTGTTTTTGCAGATTTTGTTTAATATGTAAATCAGATTTATAGTTTTGAGAGCATTGCAAATGGCTTTACGTTTATACATATTTAATCTACTCTTATAAACTTAAATTTAAGAGAATAGATACGTTCCAGTCTCAGATGCATGTAAACTTTTAATCTCTTAATCTTGAAGGCAACACAGAAGTGGTCCTCCCCACATTTGCACACATGACTGCAATGACTTTGTGATACCTATTTTTACCTTTTAAAGAAGAGCACAGTGTTTGTTCTAAATTGATTTGATTGGGGCCACAGATGGTGTAGCAGTTATGTCGCTGGATCCCCACATGACTAACCAGTTTGAGTGCCAGATCCAGTGGCTTAAAACTCATGCCAGGCATGTGTGTGTGCATGCCCAAGATCCCAGGGGGAGAATTAAGGAGAAAGGATTGTGGCATGGCCATCCCCACTGTGGAGTGATTGCTCACTTTCACTCTTACTGTCTCTGTATCTCTCTTGTGAGCAGACATGCCCTAAGGCAAACAAACAAACAAAAAAATTCTTTAAAAGAATAAATAGATTTTATCTAAGAGTGGGTTGTTGCAGTCGAAGATTGGCCCAGTGTGTAATTTTGACTGATTTCAACACAATTTAGAGAAGGCACTACAAATTCATGTAGCAGAAGAATTTAAGTAATGGCTAACCAACAAAAGCAAAACACAAAAGTGAGCCTGTAAGTGTTACAAGAGTTTTAGAGCCTTTACTCTATAGGATGGATGTTGCTTAGCTATTGTAAATAGTAACTACCATTTATTGAGCATCTGCTGTGCCACACAAATACATTTGTTATCTTTTTGAAGGATAGGTTTTTCTCATTTTACCGAGGAAGAGACTGAAGTTCTGAGGACTGCTGATTTGTTGCTCAGTGTAACGGGTTAAATGGTGTTCCTGGTGGTTATTAGCTAACTGAAATACTTGGCAAAAGCTTCTTGCTAATTGATTTTCTTTTCTGTTTACTAGAACATTAAGCAAGTCAGATGCAAACTCTTCACATCAGTATTTGTTGAAGAACTATTTAAAATGTATTAGTATCCATTCTAGTTAAGTTAGGGAAACATTGTGAGTTAATATTTTATGAAGTATTGATTCAGATACCATTATTTAGTAAAAGAAGCCCTTTGCTGCCTCAGTTTTAATCCCCACTGTGCTATCCACTTATGGTATGGTTTTAAGCAAAGTTCTTAATTCTCTGGTTAGCCATATTCAAAATGGAATGTGGCCAGTCTGGAAAGCCTTTTTGTTCCCTGTGAGAACTGAGGCTCACTTGCCCAATGCAGAGACACCAAAGCAGGTAGGAAGAACAGGAAGGGACCCAGTCACAGCCAGCAGCTCCTCCAGGAAGCCCCTTTGTTCATGTGTGCCTCGGACTTTCTTCCTCTGCCTGGAGATAGGGGTGTGAGAGAACACTCATACGTGAAACCACTGCACTTGGGGTAGTTAGGAAACTCTTTGCTTATCCTTCCTAAAGTTATGTCACTACATGCTGTGTGATCCCCATACTTCCCTGGCCTTCCACCTTGACGTGTCTAAGCCAGAGGCCCATTAGCAATCTCTATGTTGAGCACTCACTCTATTTCCTTGATAGGATGCCTGTTTTATACATTTATGATTAGCATAGTCTATACCTTACTTTCTGAAATGTAGTATCTCCCAGAGCTTCTAGTTAGATTTTTTTTAGATAAGGATATATATGAAGTTTTCAGTTGAAAGATACAATACTCAATTAATCTAATTTATTATATACCACTACAATCCAGAAAGAATTTGAGCTAGTTTACAGCATGAATATATGTACTGAAAATAGGACATCATGACCAAGGACAAGTAGAAGAGAGATTTTGTTCAATGTGTGCATTAACGTACACACAGCATTGGTGTATTTTTTACTGTTTATTTTATTTATTTTAGGGATAGTAAAGTGAGGCGTTTATTGAAAGAGAGGGAAGGAAAAACAGAGCTCCCAGGAAGGGAAGGGGTCCCAGAAAATGAGTTGCCCACATTGGTGTATTTTCTGCTTTGCAAAAGATAACTTTGCAAAAAAATTTAAATGATCAGAAACTTGTATTTTTGAACAGATATTGTCTTCGTTTACTGATAAAGAACTCTTGGCATATGCCAAAGCTGGAGCAGTAGCAGAAGAGGTCTTAGCAGCAATTAGAACTGTGATTGCATTTGGAGGACAAAAGAAAGAACTTGAAAGGTTTGAGTTTCTTTTTTAAGTTGATAGAAATGTTAAATTCTGTGTCATCTCATATACCCTTCAGGCTAACAGTTTAAATTATATAGCTTGTGTGTATGTGTGCGTATACATATTAATACATATTTCTATATACAAGCATATGTGTGTGTGCGTGTGTGTATGTGTATTTACTTAAATAGCTTAACGGATATATTATAACATAACTAATATTCTGGAGAAGTTAATTCAAAGGATATACCAGAATTTTCTAGATGAGAAATGACACAAAGATAATTTCCTAAGGGTGAACTGTATTTTATATGTCTGGTTTTTAAAATATATTTTTAATTTACATTTAATCAATTTATGCCTGTACAGAATACAAAACAGTTTTTTGGAGCATGAATGGAGTGCATAGTACTCCAGTCGAAGTTATTATCATATACATTATTATAGCAAAATAACTTTCATTTTTGTGTCTTTTAAAAGTTTTTTTCTCCTGCATATCTGATATTTTAATCAAGTTTATTCTTGCTCGTCTATACTGAATGAGTATTTTCTGCAATATCTATGGAGACGTTTTAATCTATGGTTCATTTCCCCTCTTGAGATATGTGCCCTGATTTGAAAGACAAACAATGTAACCAAAAAGCATATTTTGTTCATTTGTTCTAATGTTCAGAGTTTTTTATTATGTGTTATATGGTTTTATCTTTGTAACTGTTTCCTTTTATTAGATTTTTGAGCATTATAATAGTAATTTTTTGAAATTTATAATAGTTATTGATACAAAGATTTCTGGGCTACAACAATCTTTATTGAAAATTGCATATATATTATAATATTCTGGTATTAGAGTATTTTAGTGTTATAAATATACGGTTTTTTTAGATGTTTTTGCCATGGGGCATATACACTCATTGGAAAGAGACAGACAGAGACAGTTAAAAGAAACGTGAGAAATCATCCCCTGGGCCAGAAGGCCATGCCACGCTCCCTTCTCCTTCATGGTTCTCCCAGGATCCTGGGCCTGGATGCACAAGTGCCTGGCATGATTTTGAAGCCAGTGGGTCTGGGACTTGAACCATGGTCAGCCATGTGGAAGTCCAGCAACATAACCAGTATACCATCTGTTGGTCCCAATATATATTTTTTGAAAATAGGAAAAAGTAAACTATATTATTTAGGAGTGGTTAAATGTTGTGTGAAAAAGCCTTAAAGAAAAGGGGATTTTTGTAAGTTAGAATAACAGTTATCTTACATTTTGAGAAGATGAGAGGTTGTGTGTTGACACACTTGGCCTGGAGCTTCTGTGGCTCTGCAGTGTTCTGTTTCTTGACCTCACTTACACATGCATGTTCATTGGATAATTATTTTTTAAACCATATAAACATATTTGTTCATATGCTGTATTTCACACCCACATAGATTTCCTCTGAGAACAGTTTACAATGGCTAAGTGCCATAGTTCAAAGGAAAATAGTGTTTGTGTTCTATTTCAATTTTTGCTAAGGTTTTTGCTTTTACTTTAAAATATGTCTGACTAATAAAATGAGAAGTCTTGCTTAATGACCGGGCAAAATCTAATCAAATAAACTTCCACTCTCTTGGAGTTTAAATTGTATTAGGGAAGGGACAAGTACAGAAAACCAAAAATAAGCAAATATCACGAATATCTAATCTACCAGTGTAGGTAAATATTATTTGGGGCAATAAAATACTTTGAGAGAGTCATGGGGGCACTAGTTTGCAGAAGTTATTCAGGAACATCTTTTGGATTAGTCGATAGTTGAGAAGAAGCAGAATGCAGTTTTGTATGTGGAATTCTTTTCTAGTTATTCTCAGTGGAAAAGTAGACTAGAAAAATAATATGTCCAATTGCTTAGGAAGACAGGGCATGTCTGCTTTTGCTGGTTTCTGAGCCTTGGGGGAAAACATCTCCCCAAAGAAATCAAAATCCCAAGTGTGACCCTCCTGTGTAGCTTGGGTCTGAATTTAGACTACTCTTTGGACTAGGAAACTCTTTCACTGAAGCTGAAGATTACATGCTAATAATGAGTCCTAGTTCAATATTATTAGTGTCTGATAGAAGAAATGAAAAATTACTGAAAATTAGTGAACTAAACATGTAAATTAAGAAGTGAGAAAAAGAAAAACTGAGTACAGTATTAGAATGATGGGACCAGCAGGTGGTGTGGTGGTTAAGGGTGCTGGACTTTCACATGGCTGACCACGATTCAAGTCCTGGACCTGGTGGCTTGCTTTCTTACTTTCCCTCTCTCTTACTCTGTCCCTCTCTGGAGTGGGGGCTGTGGAAGAAGAGTTAAATAGTATAAATAAATAAACTTAAAATAATAATAATAATAATTTTTTTAAAAAAGAATGAAATAATAAAGGTAAGAGCAAAAATTATTTTAATAGAAAATAAAGGTAAAAAAAGAGGGCCAACAGAGCCCTAAACTAATTCTTCGAAAAGACTAATAAAGAACCAAGTATTGTGCTAGTTTATTTAGGAACAGAAAAAGAATGAAAAAGAAAAAGATAAACTTGCTTCAGATTAAAAAAGTTTCTTTTAAAATGTATAGCTCTATACCAACTATGTTTAAAATTATAGTATGTGTGTTCACATGGAAAAGGGAGAAGCACCCTCCAAATGGTCTCACAATACCCCTTCCTTAGCCCTCCAGCTCATCAGGATCTTGGGTGTCTGTGCACAAGCCCTAAGTGTTTTTAGGGTAACTTGGGCATCTGAACCTGCAGTTGGCTCTGTGGCTTCCAGCATCACAATCCAGCACACCATGCACCATATCACCTAGGCTGGTCTGTGCCACGAAATTTTAAATACCTAAGGATGTATACAATATCCTGGAAAAATATAGATCAAAGTTGTCACTTAAGAAGAAAAGCTGAGTAAATCTATAATTATTAAAGGAATTAAATCCAAAGTTAACAATTAACAAAGAGATTAACAGAGTTCATCTCTCCCACCCTCCATTGCCACATGTGCATGCACAAGCAAAAATGATCAAGTCTAAATAATTTCACTGGGAAATTCTACCAAAATTTCAAGAAGGTGAGAACCCCTTATATGAATTTTTACAGAGAATGAAAGGAAAAGAAAAAAATTTCTGAGTTTATTTTATGATGCTGTTTTAAGTTCAATACCACAACTAGACAGGTAGAAGATGAGAAAGAACATTAAAGGACCATTTGACCTAAAACTGATGGAGATATTCTACATAAACTATTAGCTAAACAAACCGATGTGAAGAAAATATCATCCAATTTTTAAAAATCTTGAATCTGTTAGCTTTACCCTATGAATGCAAAGATGGCTTGACATTAGGAAATCTATTAATATAATTAATGATATTAACAGATTAAAGGAAACATTTTATTTTGATGAATAGACAAAAAGCATTAATTATATCTGATTTACAACCAGAATTCTTAAAACTGGGAATATAGGGGCTGGCAGGTGGCATGGTGGGTAAGGCACTGGACTCCCCTTCCACATGGCTGACCATGACTCGAGTCCTGGACCTGGCAGCTTGCTTTCTCACTTTCTTTCTCCCTCTCTCTCTCTGTCTCCCTCTGGTCAAAATTAAGAAAGATAGGGCCGGCAGTGGTCTGGTAGTTGAGGGCACTGGACTCCCATATGGCTGGCTATGGTTCAAGTCTCGGACCTCGTGGTTCGCTTTCTCACTTTCTTTCTCCCTCTCTCTCTCTGTCTCCCTCTGGTCAAAATTAAGAAAGATAGGGCCGGCAGTGGTCTGGTAGTTGAGGGCACTGGACTCCCATATGGCTGGCTATGGTTCAAGTCTCGGACCTCGTGGTTCGCTTTCTCACTTTCTTTCTCCCTCTCTCTCTCTGTCTCCCTCTGGTCAAAATTAAGAAAGATAGGGCCGGCAGTGGTCTGGTAGTTGAGGGCACTGGACTCCCATATGGCTGGCTATGGTTCAAGTCTCGGACCTCGTGGTTCGCTTTCTCACTTTCTTTCTCCCTCTCTCTCTCTGTCTCCCTCTGGTCAAAATTAAGAAAGATAGGGCCGGCAGTGGTCTGGTAGTTGAGGGCACTGGACTCCCATATGGCTGGCTATGGTTCAAGTCTCGGACCTCGTGGTTCGCTTTCTCACTTTCTTTCTCCCTCTCTCTCTCTGTCTCCCTCTGGTCAAAATTAAGAAAGATAGGGCCGGCAGTGGTCTGGTAGTTGAGGGCACTGGACTCCCATATGGCTGGCTATGGTTCAAGTCTCGGACCTCGTGGTTCGCTTTCTCACTTTCTTTCTCCCTCTCTCTCTCTGTCTCCCTCTGGTCAAAATTAAGAAAGATAGGGCCGGCAGTGGTCTGGTAGTTGAGGGCACTGGACTCCCATATGGCTGGCTATGGTTCAAGTCTCGGACCTCGTGGTTCGCTTTCTCACTTTCTTTCTCCCTCTCTCTCTCTGTCTCCCTCTGGTCAAAATTAAGAAAGATAGGGCCGGCAGTGGTCTGGTAGTTGAGGGCACTGGACTCCCATATGGCTGGCTATGGTTCAAGTCTCGGACCTCGTGGTTCGCTTTCTCACTTTCTTTCTCCCTCTCTCTCTCTGTCTCCCTCTGGTCAAAATTAAGAAAGATAGGGCCGGCAGTGGTCTGGTAGTTGAGGGCACTGGACTCCCATATGGCTGGCTATGGTTCAAGTCTCGGACCTCGTGGTTCGCTTTCTCACTTTCTTTTTCTGTCTCTCTCTGGTCAAATTAAAATAAATAAATAAATAAAGCTAAATAAAATAATTATTAAAAATTTTTAAAAAGATAAAAAATAATAATACATAAAATGAAATATAAATAAGTCTTTTAAAAAACCTGGGAATAAGAGACCTTCAGATAGTGCTAACGTGGTTGGACTTCCATGTAGTCAACCATGGTTCGAGTCCTGGACCTGGCAGCTTAAAATCATGTCAGGCATGTGTGTGTGTATATCCAAAATCCTGAGTGGAGAATAGAGGAGAAGAGATTACGGCATGGCCATCCCTTCTGTGGG